GCCAGTTCAAGATCAATTATCCTTACCAACTGGCGTAACTCCACCAACTCGACACATCGAATCGTCGACAAGCACACACATGTTGTATTTGTATCGTGTAAGTGACTGAGCATCGTAGAATCGCGTTCGATTCAATTTATCGGGCGCGTAATTTATGCAAGCGGTCACGCATCAATTACAGGGCTCGGTGAATAACATGGCGCACGTTTGACCGAGTAAAACCGAGTAAATACGAGGGTTGTAACCTTTGGATCGACGACTTTCTATCGCCACGGAAACGATACGTGGAACGTTTGATACTAAAACGCCCCGTTACTCCATAAATCTTGGATGACCATCGAAACACTTGACGCGTGTAAACCGTTCGAAAGTCAAATTGCAACGAGCGCGGGGGACTTTTCGTGTTATTTATTCCGGCGTTTGTTTCGTCGGACTTGAGCAGTTTGTTAATTAAAAAAAAAAAAAAAAAAAAAAAAAGAAAGAAAGGAAGAAAGAAATGAAAAGAAAAGACAAAGAGAAAGAGAGAGAGAGAGAGGATTAAAAATAAGGATGAAGAAAGATATCGTTAGGCATGCCAGAGGCTATCAACGGCCGGAATCTAATTAGCATTCTGTATTAGTAGCAGCAGCATTTCCTGAATGAATCTCTCTGTTACCATGTGCACACGTACCACAAAATCTTGAGCAGCTTCTTCGGCTGCAAGTAATTAGTATGCAAAGCACGTCCTTCAGGTATTACAAGGTAGTTCCATTTGCTGCTTCCAGTTATTAAATAATTCAATTTAACGCGCACAATTTCCGCTAGTATCTGGATACAGTTCGAAGAGCAAATTTAATTTGCACGGCCGATTGCCGGAATAAATTGCTTCTTCCACTGTTTCCTACTGTTTGAAATTGTACTTATCTTTTGCTTAGATATTCCCTGCAATACATAATTTAAAGAAAGTTGCAATATTGGAAATGAGTTTTATACGTCTCGAAATTAAAAAAAAAAACAAAAACAAAAGATGAACTTTTTTTTTTATAGAACATCTCGTCTCTTTCAACTTTAACGTTCCAAAGTTCTTGCTACTTGTCTCGTGCAACAGAGAGCAGCGTTTCAACGAATAAAAAGAAATGTCCAATGCTTCGGGAGGAAATACGTTTGGCACTGAGCTGAATGAACGATCTCGCGAATTTCTCGATCGATCCCCGTTCGTGAATGAAACGTCCGTGGAAGCGTCTGTGCAATAGCGAGGTCAAATCGTAGGCAGTTACGCCCAAGTAATCTCCTGCCTTTGTGTCTTTCTTCTGCCTTCCTTTCGTTCCTTCTATTAGCGAGAGATCCCACCGACAAGCTGATCGTGAGTCAAGATTTACGAGGCTTCGTCGTTTAAATCGTTGATCATTGCCGGCTAATTCATTGTCATTAAGTCGGACTGATTGTTACTTTGTAAATAATTTCTTCGAGAGAGGAAGTCTTTCAGTCTTCGACTTGGAACGAAGCCTCCTTACTTCGGTTGATGGTTGATGGTCGACCTTGATTATTCAATTTACTGCTTATATACTTTATCTGTTATTCGATTTGCCACTTACTGTTGCAAAGAATATTTCAAATTTAAACTAAACGTCGAACACGGATTTCCTAAACGTTATCGTTTCTTCTGTTTCAGGTAAGCAGAGGTTACTTCTTTGGATGAACGCGCCTCGTAGCCCGTGAAAGTTATATATTATAGTCCTGCAAATGACGCGACTGTTTTCGCACTCGTCCCGAAAGGTACATATCGTCCACGAATTTAAGTATCATTCACCCTCATGCTTGAATTTTGTTGAATCGAAACAATTTTGAGTCATTCGTCAAACTTCATTTCCACGAGCTCTTTCAACAATGGACAAAATCGGAGCAGCCGATGTTGGAAGTGGCAAGCAGTAACGCGGGAAAATTGTGAGCTGAAATAATAATGTCTCGAACGATATTAGCGCTAATAAATCAGGTTATAATATGTTCAGCTGATTAGAAAAAACGATGCGCGATGTGGAGTCACGCTGGCAATTAAAACAGCGGAAAAAAGTGCCCGCCCCGAGCGTTCTACGGATAATTGAATAATTCTATTAAGCTTGGTAATATTGCAATTACTTGAACGTCGACGTGTCTATCTGTTTAATGATCCGATCAACATTCACCCGACTAGTTTTACACGGTAGTTTCGCTAAATTTGACGTTCGTGTTCGATCTGGGAATAATTGCCACGTTTATTGTCACATGAGGCAATCACTCTGACTAATTCTCGCCACGCGAACCTGTCGTTAACGTAACGTATTGCCGCGTATTCCAACGTTGTTCGAACAGTTTACTCTGGCGAATTATTTTTACAAGTTAGGTTGACCTGTTGCGCTTTGTAATCGAGAGACAACTTTGCAAGACAACTTTGTTGTCTTTCTTCTCGTTTTCCTCTTCTGTTCCGCGCGGAAGCATCCTCGAGATTGCAATTACGTCTAATAACTTCGTTGGAATAGCATCTTGGCCAACGAAGGTCGAACGATTCCGAGGAAATTCAGGTCGAGGAAGAACGATTCTTGGAAAGTTTTCTTATTCAAATATCATACCAACAAAGACAGAGTTTCTTCTTACAAAAAGTATCGCTCGATAGTGTCAATGCCTTAATTACCAGAGACAGTTTTGTCTGAGAATCTCTCTCTCTCTCTCTCTCTCTCTCTGTCGGAAATATTTCTCACCGAGTTCCGTGTTAGACGAGTCGGAAGGGCTCGCTTCGATCAGGAGCAATAAATTGCCTCAGGGGAGACAGAGTGGACGCGTGAAAAACCGCGTGTTCGCCAACGCGACGCGAAGGTCGATGGTGGATGGAAAGGAAGAGAGGAGGAGAGAAAGAGAGAAAAGGGGCAAAAGGGGAAGAAGCGGAGAACCGGACGCGTTCGACTTGAGTTGTGCTTAAAAGACACCTCGCAGGCCGCGATAAAGATGTAAATCTGGCTGTAAGCGAGGAGAAGTACGAGCACGGCAGCGGTCGCTATTAATTCATGCATGCATTGTTACGTGTCAAGGCGCGCGGTGTATCTGCCGGCAGATCGTCGTGACGAGATAAGCCAGGCGAAAACCTTCCTCCTCTCGATCGGCAGCCTCCTCCCGCGCCGAGCGAGCAAGCGAGCGAGCGAGCGAACCAGCCAGCGAGAAGTAGCTCGCACGACGAAAAGACCCGGGTTCGCGCCGCGCCAAGGCGAAGATTAATCGTCCACGTCGGACGTACGTCGTGATAATTCCTTTAGCCGACACGCGGCCTCGTCGCGTCGCGTCGCATCGCATCGCCTCGATCCCGCGACGCTCTGCCACGCTGCTAATTATTTCGTTTAGCGTCGCCACGATGGACGGCTGCCGTTAACGCTCGACGTGCTTCCGTGAATCAGTCGAGGAGGCCTGCAGGATTCCCCTATTGGAACACGATCCGGCGGAATTGTCGCCGCGGAGGCAACGCAACTTCCCTTATCCACGTACGTATGTATTACGCAATGCGTGTGACGTCCAAGTTTCAGAGGGGCGTTAACGATACTTTAGCGGAGAGTTAATCGAACAGAGTCGTTCCGAATCGTCGAATTTCTGCCATGACGGAAGGCACGATATCGAAGATCTCGAGGTCGCGATCGCCACCATGACCACCGCGTCGGACACGTGGTAAACACGTGCCCGGCTTCCAATGAGAATTTAATTGCTCGAGCATTCATTCGCCGGTTCTCTCATTTGCATCCAGGCAGCATGACCATATCAAGCCGCCTCTCTATTACCCTCTGTTTCTTTTCGCCTCTCCTTCCCATCCCCTCACTTCATCTTCCTTCGATCTCTGTCTAGTTTAATTCTGATAATTTTACGCGGAGCTGGAGAAATAGCAACTGCTATTTTTTCTTTTTTTTTTTTTTCATAGAAAGAAAGCTATCTGCGTACACGTTGTACATTTATTTCAATATTCATCAGACTAAAGTTAGCGTTTCATTTAAAAAGATTCGACGCGTGCAAACGACTCTCGATAATATAACATCGCACCATCTGACGAGCGATAATTTTAGTTTCTGCTTGGTAATTCCATTAAAACTGTCTGCGCAGCAGGTATATTTGTGTGTCCGAACTCGTAATATATATTATTATTTGACGCTGTAATTCGCTGCTTGCCAATGCACTTTCTTTATTTTTCATTGGAGAACTTATCAAATCGCTTAGCAACGAACAATCGAAGACAGAAACGTATCTGCACTTCGGTGAATGTTAGATTGATTGCTTCAACGGCCGTACAAATGTCAAGATTTTCATTAAATCTTTTTCCCTGCGATTACGCTGCAACATGGGTCGTCGATGAAAGAGACGAAACAGATGGAATCAGTCACGAAAGCAGGATACTGTAGTTACACCTGTTCTTGGAAGTCGTCGTATCGCATTAAGTCGTCGAGACGATATTAGCGAGCCGTCGAGAATCTCTGGAATTTTGTTCCTGTCGTCTTTCGTAATCGTCCGGTAACTTTTACGACGTAAAATCACACTGTACGTAGAGCTTCGTGAAGGATATTTCCCGATCAGACGTAAATTCTGACAACTACGAAACGTAAATTGACTGCGTAATAATTCGCGTCTCGACAAAGAAATCGCGCGGAAAAGTTATCCAGCAAAGACAATTGCATTAATTCACGGTGTTACCGGCAAGTCTCATTGTAGCAAGTGGATGTTTATGCATGAATAGGAAACGGTGGGGCGCGTCGACGCGTACAAATGGCGATCGATCGATCGATCGAGCGAGCGAGCGAACGGTCTCGCCATTGATCGACGTTATGCGAATTTACATTAAATAAAAAAAGAAGGGCGAAAGAAAAAAAAAAAAGAAGAACGAAGGTTTCCTCGAAGCGATCGGCTTGGGCCACGAGCAAATTCCACGCGTATCCGCCGACCGATATCTCACCGATTATCCACCGATAATTGTCCTTGCAATTAAAAATAATGCTCAATGGGATTCTTATCGCGGTATCTCGGGCATAGCGTTCGTATACACGACACGAAAATGTAGCGATCGGCTGGCTGGGCCGCAGTCGTGTACTCGGTTATTAATAAAAGTTGAATGCACGTAATAAAAGTATTCCGCAGTTGCTGGCGTCTGGTTTACGACGGTGTTAAAGGCAAGTTAGCGATAAAAGGCACTTTGTGCAGCTCGAAATTGATTGCGATATGAAGGGAGTCCAATAAAGATAGCTTCGGGCGTCAGAAATTCATCATCGCGCGCATACCGCCGGTGAAACGAAAAGCTGAAATCGCCTTCTCTCTTGGAGGATTAGCTTAAATAGGGGTTGGATTGATTTAAGGCGGATTGAAGACGATAGGAAGGCAGGTAAAAGTTAAATAAACGATCGGAACTTGGCAGCGCCACTTGCAGCAGAGTGTAGCTCGAGGAAAAATTACGTCCGACGACGTAATTGAAGTTTGCGATTTCCCGCGTTTATGTACAAAATATCCGCCGGTTTATGGTTTGTTTGAATACGATAAGAGCGTGGTGTTTGGCATTAAAATTCCTGGCCGAAACGCGATTGTTTTTTTTTTTTTTTTGGAAATTTATCGACAGTCGTAAAATAAATCAGTCGGATTGTGGGGAATATATGTAATTAAGTCGTATACGCGACTTTGATCCGCAAAGAATTGAAAAGACACGATAGATACGTATTTTCAACTATTATTTAGACAACTTTTTCACTGACGGATAAATTAGCGACGTGTATTACTCGCAACGATCGTGCTTGCAAGTATTAACGACTCGGGGAGAGGGGAAATCATTCGTACAATCGAGCACCGTGCGCGGCAGGACAATTAATCAATATCAGGCAAGCGTACAGCGATCGCTGGATCACGAATCTCGCGCACAATGTAACCACCGGCCGCATAATTAACAGTATAGCTCGAACGTAACGTAACGTAGATTGCACTCGATTGCGCTCGATTCTTCCGCGACATCGAGCCGCACGAATCTCGTAATACTCGCGTTCCGTAGCCTGGAACGTAGCAACTTATCGTAAAGGCAACGTATTTTCTCACGCGTTTTAATGGTAGTCGCTTGATGGTCGCTGATGGTCGTTGCTTTCCACCGAGATCGTCTAGACGTCTGGAGGGTTCAGAGTTGAGGGGGTTAAGACGTAAGAAGGTTTAGTTTGCCTCATCGAACACCCCATTAACAGTGGTAAGAGCTTTTATCGAGCTTGTCCTAGGCAATCGCGACGAGTTTGCACGACGACAGATCGTCCGATCTATTCAACGGCTGGAAGAAAGAAAGGATCGACGATGTCCTGGCGTATCGACTCGAACAGAGAGAGAGAGAGAGAGAGAGAGAGAGAGAGAGAGGAGGTTCGAAGTCATTGGCTGGCCTTTGGCCGTTCGATTGCCTTTTAGGACGTTTTGTCGGTCGAAAACCAAGCGAACGAGGTCTCCTCGGGAGAGGAAAGAGAGGAAAGAGAGGAAAGGACAGAGGGAAGGGGCTTACGGCGCGGTGTGTTTCCCTGTCCATCGGTAAATAGACTGGATGGACGGGAGTGGAAGGTTCATTAGCGAGGTATATCAGGACCCGGCATTCCTCGCCTGTCGACCTTTGGGACCCTCGTTCGGGTCAGACGCGGCCGCCTGCTCCAACGATTCGAGCAATTTTTCTACCGGGTGAATCGAGAAATGACCGTCTTTCAACGGGCAGCCTCGCAGTCTCGCACGTTGATTTATGCTTTGCAATTTCGCGTGATAGTTTTGGGCGTGAC